CATATTATTGTGGTTTATAATCTTAGATCATCCTATTAGATTTGAGTGTCTGGGAAGTCTGAGAATATTAAATACATTCTTTTTGTACAAGCAGTTGACGATGGTAAGCAGGTTCTAGAACACCAGCCACATGACATTTAATCCTCATCCTGAAATCGTGTTGTTGATCACTGGATTGTCTGGTCCAGACTCAATTATTTACAGGCTGCTGCCATATAACTGGAATATTGCTGAGTGTGGCGTGAAACAACAACCAAACCAAACCTCATCCTGATAAATTAAGATAGATGAGGTGCCAAACCTATACATGAATCACAATCTGGTGGTCAGATTTGGTTACCTTGTTAAGTGCATGATATCATGGTTATCATGCCCCTGTGGCAGGTGACATTGTTCAACACATAACAACATATACTTCAAAACTCTGGCTGTCGTAGATGCTGAAGAACCCTGCACAGCTTATTAGGAAGAGACAGGAATCAGCTGATATTACTGTATGAGCCAATAGATTAAAAAAGAAGGGTTGAAGAATCGTAAGACTCAGTTAAAAGTTTGGTTGGGAGATACCCTTTAATGGGCAAAACATTGCTCAACATGTGTCAGCATAGGTGTTCAAGGCTCTGGCTGTTTTAGTTGTTGATGAAGCCTGTGCAGAACTCTCTGTTTCTGTGTAAGAATCGGTCCTACAAAACCTGTATTTCCCTCAAGAAGTGTCTTGATTCAATGGTTGGTGAGACCCATCGTCCTTATGAAGTAGGTCTTGAAGGGATACAAATGCAATTGTTTTGGAGGGTGCCATAGGGCACCAGATACATAATTTAGATGTGCCTTTGTGAAAATAAGTGTGCCCATACTTTTTGATGATTTAATCAAACTCAAAACATCACGACAATCATGTCTTTTCAATTTATTGTTTAATAAATCAGTAAACATCATGTAAACCTATGAACTTGAGAGCTTGATTTCCTGAAGACTATACTGACTCCAAGAATAGTTCTGTTTCATTTGTCCCGGACCCATAAACTTAGCCACTAACTATGTTATCATCCAAAACAAGGTTTCCTGTTATGCGGACTGGCATTCAAAATGGCCCCAAACCCATGTTAAATTGTGGGATTGAGAGTGCCACTGATGAACAGTTTGATGGGGTGCAAAAATAGGTTTTGAATAATTTGAGTTGCTCAAATTATCACATTTTCTGTTAAGCGAATCATGGTGAGTATTATTTTTATAATTTTAGTTGTGCCACCAGGGCACATTGAAAATATTTCATCCGTGCCATTTCAATATTTACTGTCCCATGGCATGCACATTAAGAGCTACTTTGGTACCTGAAGTCGGTTTCATATCTCATTGGTTATTTGATATTTTCTGACTGCCTGATATTACAATTTCAAGGCTTAATCTTTCTCTGAATTTACAGGGGCGATGGGGTAGCCTAGTGGTTAAAGCATCCACTTGTTATGCCGAAGACTCGGGTTCGATTACCCACATTGGTTCAATGTGTGAAGCCCATTTCTGGTGTTCCCAGCCATGATATTGATGGAAAATTGCTAAAACAGTAAAAGTGGCATAACATCACACTCACTTACTCATGATTTACTGTAATTTTGTGGTCATTGTGTATATGGTGTGTAATATTGTTATGCTGTTCTGTTGCTCATCATCTTTGCTACAACACTTGTCGACATGATGATGGCATTACATCATGCTGGCATCTGTCATGTTTCCAAAGGACATCTGCTATGATAACACTAGATTGTGTTCTGGAGACTGCTTGGCCTCATTGATTGGGCGAAAACCTGATGTAGTCAGTCAACTGCAGTGTCTAACTGCCACATGTAATAACCTGCTGACAGGGCTGTTGTAAGTCATCAGCTGTGCCGCTTATTACTACGTCTGCTCTACCCCTGATGGAATATCTGCTCCTGGTAGTTCCTTTTGAGGTCGGCCAGTGGGGTAGCCTAGTGGTTAAAGCATTCGCTTGTCACACCGAAGGCCTGGGTTCGATTACCCACATGGGTACAATGTGTGAAGCCCATTTCTGGTGTTCTCCGACGTGATATTGCTGGAATATTGCTAAAAGTGGTGTAAAACTAAACTCACTCACTTCTTCCGAAGCCATTGAAACACCAGGGAGGCATCAGCAAATAGGCATTCATCTCAAAATATGCACAGATATTTCACATTGAGAGAGCATACAGACTTCCAACATTGTAATGTTGTACTGAAGACAACTTGGCAATATAAAGATTCAGAACATGAGTTTAAGATGAAGCAGTCTGTTGCTGCATCACAACTTTCTTAAACATACTGCTTGCATCCATCCAGGTGTTCGAAATGTTGTCCTTCTTGATGTCCACCATGGGTGTTAGGACCATGATATCATATGCCATCTGGACTTTCTGTATCCGGGTTGACACAGTACCATGATATCATGTGCCCCAAGGGCATGCTGTATCTGGGTTGTGTGGACACCGTACCATGATATCATGTGCCCCAAGGGCATGCTGTATCTGGGTTGTGTGGACACCGTACCATGATATCATGTGCCCCAAGGACGTTGTGTGGATGCAGTACCATGATATCATGTGCCCCTTGGACATTATGTGCCTGGGTTGTGTGGACACAGTACCATGATATCATGTGCCCCTGGACATTCTGTATCCGGCTTTGTGGACACCGTACCATGATAGCATATGCCCCAAGAACATTCTGTATCTGGGTTGTGTGGTCACAGTAACATGATATCATGTGCCCCCAAGGACATTCTGTATCTGGGTTGTGTGGACACCATACCATGATAGCATGTGCCCCAAGGACATTCTGTATCTGGGTGTGTGGACACAGTACCATGATATCATGTGCCCCAAGGACATTCTGTATCCAGTAGAGGTGTGACGATGCAGAAATTTCACGATACGATACGTATTGTGATATCATGGAACGATACGATTAGATACGATGCATATCACGATATGCATTCATTAGTTATTTTCTTTAAAAAAAGTGTATTTTGATAACAAGAAAGAGTGTAAATTTTGACATAACCGTCAATTTCTGGTGAAAATTCACAATTTTAAGGTCAACGATACATATCACGATGCGGAAAAAAGTATCGATATATTTATTGTCAGAAAAAGTATCACGATTATCGATACTACGATATATCATCACAGCTCTAGTATCCAGGTTGTCTGTACACAGTACCATGATGAAAAGTTCCCCTTAGACATTCTGCAAACTGGGTGGGCAATTCATCCTCATAAATCCTTATAATCTCATCCCGTGAGAGGGTAAAGAAATCCCCTAATAATATTAATGTAAGTAACAGATAACTAAACTGAAAAATCAAAACCAGTCGTGTCACACGTTGTATTTATCAGGTGGGTGTAGTGATTCAGTGTATCTGTGGTATGAACTGTTGAAGTCTGAAGTCTGACTCACAGTCCCTGATCCACTTCATTTTCACCTCCTTCCAGCCCTTTTTGCAAAAGCCCTAAGTGAAGCAAGTCTTGAGTTTCCTCAGACTCCAATGTCCTGGCTCATCGGGGCACCTTTTCAGTGTAAAAGGACATATTTGTTTCTATCAATATTATATTATATGCAGAGACTGTGTCAGTCTATGAATGTTCAAGTGACAAACCTCAGATAACATAGTGACTACCTATCAAGAAGCTGCTATCAAACTAAACTGACTTAACCGTGATCATGCTGATGGTATGTAATACAGTCAGTCACATGTGGGTCATGTGTGTCAAGCCTGAGCTCCTACATCAGTATGATACATGCTAATGAGAAATACTTAGTCACATGATAACAAATAAACCCATTTAAATTGAAAAGGAGCCCTAGTGAGTTGGGAGATCAGGAGATCGGAGAACCTGGGGAAATCTGGACTCACAATGCATCATTTAGGGCTTTAGGATTGCAGGGAGGGATGGGTGGAAGGGAAGATATGTGGTTCAGGGACTTTGAGACAGACAGAGTAGAAGTATGAACTATCAGGCGGATACAGCTTTTGGAGAAAGTGGGGATGCACATTTCATTTTCACGAGAGTTTCAATGGTCATTTAATAAACTTTCAGGACAAAAGGGGTGTGTGTGTGTGTGTGTGTGCACCACTGCACCCCCCTCTAGATCCGCCTATGACTATGACCCAATGTCCACAGACATTTCAGGACAAATTCCCATTTTAATTTTGAATGATTCATGATGTTATAGGTCTATCTCATGTACTGGATTTGTAGAGTGACTTGTATGTCACTATTGGCAAATCCTTCAAAAAGATACAATTCAGCATGGCTAATGTTTATTTTTACACAATTACATTGAACATTTTAAGTGTAATGCTAAAATACCTCGTTTGTTTGGCTTTCCTCAGGTTTGTGAAAATCAAAACCAGTCGTGTCACACGTTGTATTTATCAGGTGGGTGTAGTGATTCGGTGCATCTTTGGTTTGAAATGTTGAAGTCTGTAGTCTGCCTCACTGATCCACTTCATCTTCACTTCCTTCTATAGCCCTTACTGCAAAAGCCCTAAATGAAGCAAGTCTAGGTTTTCTTCAGATTCAAAATCTGGCATCTCACTAGGGTTCTTTTTTAATTTAAATGGAATTATTTGTTTCTATAAAAATGATATATATTCAGAGCTTTAGTCCAAGTGCTCAGCTTCAGCCCTTCCCAGTTGCCCTCAATGACAATGGTTTTGTGGGATTATATAAATCAGGGTTATGTTAATGTTAATTTTAAGATAAAAATACCACAACACTTGATGACTACCTGAAGGTACATGTCTGGCTGTATCATCACCGAGTCGTCATGTTCCAATGCACAACCATGTGACTACATCTTTCAGTATTGTTCACCCTTACATAACATCAACCCGTCGAGACAGATGATGGTTGGTCAAGGCGTTACTGTAGATGGAAAGCCATTGTCAGATAAGATTATATAAGGTAATTGTTCCCACTGACAGTGCAGTTTCAGTGTTCGTAATTTTGATGACTGCAGAATGAGGTGTTTTTAATGATGTGGCCATTTTCACATTCACGAGTGTAGCACAGACGAATGTCCAATTAGTCGTTTGTTCTCCGAGCCTTTGTATTTAATTTGATGCTGTGACTGTTGATGCCCAGGGTGTTTTTTGGTTGAGTGATCCTAACCAATCTCCTGTGCTTCATGGTTGGTGTAGGTGACAGCTGTACAGAGATCACCCTTCATTTAGACTACTGGAACTCCGAGGTTGGGACTCTGGGCTGGTGTGGCATGCCTGCTTTGATGGTCATAGTGATGTTTGTGTGTGCAGCATATGCTTGAGGTGGATGTTCATTTTGTGTGCTCTATGATTAGTGTAGAGCAGGAGGATGAGCTCAACTCTGACAACGGAGAGTGTGGAGTATCGGCCCGATGAGTCGGATGCTGGACTTCGGTATAGGATGGACAAGGCGAGTTCCTCTTCCATAGATCATCTGGGTATTCAGACCATAAAACAACTAATTTCTGGAAAGAGCAGGGTGAGGGCAAGGCCTGCATATTTTATTCTGTTGCTGTACAAGTACAGACACTGGCTTATAGCAGCATGGCAGTTATTTACAGGTTATGCTGTGCTTTTAGAACACATTTATTGCTAGCATGGCATGTATAGGGTATATTGTGCTGGTTGAAATAGCTCTCCGTTATCTCTTATCTCTTTATTCTCTCCTCTAAACATCTTTTTATTTACAGACTTTCTGTTTGTTATAACCCTATTTAATTTTCTATGAATTATTTCCTACTAACAAATCTTGTTTAGATTCCGTTGCTTCCTGTAGATTATTGATTACGTATTGTGGGTTCTCTTTTAGTTATTTAGTCTTATTTAGTATTTAGTTAGCTAAGTACCCATGTCATAACCATGAACTTATAAGATCACCAGCCAATACTTTTGTTACATACTTTTGTAGGTACAGTGCATACAAATTGAGTGAGTGAATTGAGTTTTATGCCGCTTTTGGTAATGTTCCAGCAATATCACGGCAGAAATGGGCCTCACACAATGTTCCTATGTTGGGAATCAAACCCGTGTCTTTGGCATGACAAGCGAACACTTTAACCACTAGGCTACCCCACCACCCTGCATGCAAATTGAGCAAGGTTTTATGTGTGTAGTGATTACACATTGAAACACAGATGGATGGTGCAGTTGTCTAAGGTGCCAAAATTCACTCTGCATTGGTTCCAATTCCATTTGACTGTTTATGTTTCCAGGCTTGTCAGAACATACCCATGCGGGAAGTATAGTGTAGAAGCAGTAAATGTCTGGGACCTGTGTCAGTTTGATGTTCTGGGTCAAGCAGACACAGTGCAATGTAACTGGAATACTGTTCCAGGTGGCATTAAACCTAATTCTGTCACCTTTTCACCCATGAAGATCTGGGTTAGAATGTGCCTTCAGTAACCCATGCTTGTCGTAAGAGGCGACTAGCAGGATCGGGTGGTCAGGCTCGCTGACGTGGTTGACACATGTCATCGGGTCCCATAGATCGATGCTCATGCTGTTGATCACTGGATTGTCTAGTCCAGACTCAATTATTTACAGACCGCCTCCATATAGCTAAAATATTGCTGAGTGTGGCGTAAAACTAATCTCACCCGCTCACTCACTCACTGTCACCTTTTCTGGAATGCTATCACTGAATCACAGCATCATGCTTACCTATTGCTTATGTTGACTAATCATTCCTGTGCATCTCTTGTAATGAACAACACAAATGTTTCACTATCTAAAGTCATTTTGACTGTATGGATGATACTCAATAAAACCACTGACCATATAACAGTGAACTTTTGTTAAAATAATGAAATGTCTGAACTTATTTATTGATGTTAATATTTTATATTAATGGCAGTTTTTGAAACATTCTTGTGTAACCTTGGTAACTTTTAATGAGCCAGCGAGAGTGATGCAGATGGTGTCAGCTATTCTGATTCCAGGGATAGGAACTTCACTGATCGGTGTTCTTGTGTTGATAGGATGGAGAGTTCATATACAATGTCCCAATATAGTTTGGTCTTGTTAGTATGTATAACACAAGCAATGTTTTGACAGACATTCTGTGATGAGCTGAACTAGAACCTTAGTTGTCTTCCACTTTATTGTCAGGAGCTACATGTGTTTCTAAAGTAATGGAAGTTATTTGTGTCTAAGAATCATTGCGGGAAGTATATGTACAGTGTCATTTTCTTACCACCAGAAAAAAAGTTTGGCAAAAGTGTAACCTGTAGCTAAGCCAACCCTGGTCTACAGACTGCTTTTTTTGGTCCTCAAAATTTGGCTTATCTACGGTCATATACGACACCTTAGTATCAACCTTAAATGTGACATGTTTCTTTAGGCCCTGTCAAGTAGACTGAATCAAATATTTCATCCTATTTTGTCGTGGACTATGTATATAAGTCAATACATGCAGATCTTCTACTCCAGGGCCCCAGATGGTCAACAGTTAAACATGATCAGGGCCCCGTTTCACAAAACTCTCGTAAGCCTAAGATCTCATAACGTTTCTCGTAGCATTCGATTCGTACCTCTTGTGCTGTAACTGTTGACTTACGATAGTCGTAGAGCTACGAGAGTTTTGTAAAACGGGGCCCAGGAGTATTTGGTTTTAATCATTACCAATGTTAAATGGAATCATCCTGAATAATTATAATGGCTCACCGTCCTGAAGCTGGGTATGGTGATGACTTACTCATGTTGGACAGATTCAGATTAGGAACGAGTAGAATAAATCATTTGAATAGTAGAGCTGTAAAAAGTGGGAAATATTTTGGTTTGGGGAGACAATTTCCTGAAACATATATGTGACCATGTTGTCTGTTGATGAGATTGTGTAGCAGATATGGGATCTCAGAAAGTCACTCAGGTGTAAACCTGTCAGCCATGGTTCCCATCAGTCAGGACAGATTACCGTCATGGGTAGACTGCAGCTAATGCAACTTCACTGAGGGTCATTTAGAAGTTGGTGGGAGGAGTCAGTCTAAGTTTGAAAAACAACTCTGTCACATTGAAGTGCGGTTTCCTTTATCTAGCAAGTAGTTCATCTAATGCACTTACACTGATTGAAAGGTTTTTGTCCTTTTTAGCACATTAAGACTTTGACATTTTGTGTAAATTATGACTGTGGAATTCAGCAGTGATTGAGAATAAGAGATTTGTCAAGAAGCTGCATGGAAGATGGGTTATCAGCATGGTAGCAATGGAGGCTGGAAATCTACTGAATGTGACTGGGTACAGTTTTTTTCTTATGTGTTTCATAAAAAAATGGAACGAAAACAGTTCAGATTGTTTCGGACAGTTTTCAATATTTTAGTAAATATGAGCAAGCGGAACTGTGAGAAGCAATCTAGTAGTGAAGGTGTTTTCCCATGCTTGTGTATTGTTGTGCCTGCTGAGAGCCTAAAGGTTATGATGTTGGGGATGTTTGTTTGACCATCAGTCCTGGAATATTGCAGGAGCTGTAGAAATAAGTTGTTGGAGTTGAATAAACCAGCTGTGACAAACCTCATTATTGTCAGCTGCTTTCAGAACCACTGCATAGTTCCAGTGTCCATGGATGCTATATTGCCATGTCAAGTCTATGGAAGTTCATCATAGAAGTGTGAGGCAGTCAGAATATTATTGTAACATATGTCAGTGGATCTGCTTGTGCTTGTGTATTGAAGGTTATATGTCTATTCATTGTTTATCATCAGGCAGGTGTTGAAAATTTCTAAAATTCAAATAGAAGGCAAGCTTTTTGCTGAATTGTACTGAATTACCACAAACAGATGGGGACCACTAACTCACCACAAACAGATGGGGACCAGTAACTCAACCTCCTCCACTGAACAGACAGACATCATGATAGCTGTAAAACCCAGTAGCTCAACCTCCAGTGAGCAGACGGAGAATGTAATGACTATAAGGCCATGTAACTCACCCATCTCCACTGAACAGACAGACATCATGATCAGACTGACATCAAAACTGTAAAACCCAGTAGCTCAACCTCCATTGAGCAGACGGAGAATGTAATGACTATAAGGCCATGTAACTCACCCATCTCCACTGAACAGACATCATGAGACATCATGATGACATGTAAACCCATCTCCAGTCATGATAACTGTAAAACAGCTCAACCTCCATTGAGCAGACGGATAATGTAATGACTGTAACGCCATGTAACTCACCATCTCCACTGAGTAGACCGATATCGTGATGACTGTCAGCCCAGTACATGAACCACTTCTAGTGTGCAGACAGTCTGTTAGGCCAAGAAGCTCAACCACAGTGCAATGTGCAGACTGGCCAAAGCATCTTCGGACTAGATGTTACTTACATTTGACAGAATGCTAGCCATGGCAAGACAATTGGGCCAGAATACCACATGCTCAGTTATAATCAGTGTTATGTTCTCTACTGGCTAGCGAACAGTTATCGCCATATTTTAGCGGTATTTACAAAATTACTCCGCTGTTCGTTAAATTAATGAAACAGAATTAATTATGGTACTTGATGAGCTATTCACCGATGTGTCCAGCCCGTTCACTGCCGCCGATCATGTTTTGATATAACGCGGCGGAAGTGAATCATGGAAGTATAAATAGATGTTTTCTCACAACTAACTGTAACAGTTATCGCCATTCAGAATTTCTCATGTCATTCTTGAAATAATATGTATCATACAGTAACGTCGAATAATTGATTGTATGACTATTTGAGTGTTTCTTTTACAGTAGATTGATAGGGAATGAAACAATTAATGACTTGTGAACCTGAACTTGCTATTATATATAGATCGCGGGACATATGCAAACATATGCAAGGCACCCAGGTAACACTGGTTACTTATGACTGTAGGAGGAGAGGGAGAGGAGCTGGCTGAGTGGTGTAGACTTATTGCGATCATTGTACTTATGGTCCCTAGAGAAGGAGACAGAGCCATGGTACCAGGGCACTGAAATGAAAACCTGGCGCCAGGTAGGCTGAGGTCATATCCCGCTTAACTCCCTTGCCAACCTTCAGTGAGCACATCTCTGACCTTGCCATGAAAATGGGGATGGGAACAACCTGCTTTTGTATCCCTTTGACCAGACAGAGCTTTTGTCCAAGTTACCTTCCATGAATACCCTTTTTAATGAACTCAATCAGGTTTTAATCTTCTGTACGTGACCTTTCCTGACCTTGCAGTTGCTTCTTTTGTTAACTGGTTTCAATTTTCACATTTTTTACCTTTCCATCTTCCTGGTCCAAGAGACTCTAGTTATATCCAATTCAATAAACTAAAATTGGGGTTGGGATGTAAATATAACCATGTACTACTACCAATTATAATGTGTCATTTGATTTTTCTTTTGTGACCTGCTTTCCTCTATTATCAGTGTGCCTGACCTCTGGTCTATCACAACACGATGTTGACCATAC